TGTGTGTGTGTGTGTGTGTGTGTGTGTATGTGTGTGTATGCATCTTGTAAAGGAACCAGGCATCAGGAAGCTTTGGCCTGGGACACCATTCCAATTTGTCAACCACTCAAGAGTTTCTAAGTAGTATTGGAATGATTAACTCATTGTTCATTTGGGAATTCATTCCTACATGCTCCCTTCAAGCTGCATAGGCAGACTGTATGATATTCTGGATCATTTTAGAGGCTCGTTTGCAGTGGAGTTCTGAGTTTGGCTTGCAGGGTTTATCTATACCCAGCTTTGGAGAGATTGTTTCTAAAAGTGTTTCTCATTGATTCTGTTTTCTACCCATTTTCTTAGGGGGACTCTTTTACAAAAGGTGAAAAGGGAGATAGAGTAAGTAGATGTTTTATCACTATCCTGGGTTTTCTACTTCATTGATTTCCTTCTCTCTGATTTCTAGTATGTTTACGTTGGAGTCTAATAGATTTGATAAAGTAAGCTCCCTGAGTATTTCACTTTTTTTGTTCTGTGATTGTTGGTTCTTTTACTATGACAAGTGAGAAATTTTCAACCTTGCTAAGAGTCATCATGTGATGATACTTCACATTTGGTTGAGGTTGTGTATATTTTCTTTAACCCTTTACAAACAGCAATGGTTGTGAATGTTATAATGACATGCATTTAGGATATCTAAAATACAAAATCAAAATACAAGATACTTTTTTTTTCCAGAAATTCTGCTAATGACACAGATTCCGTTTATCAAACAGATCAATAAGTCTTGGACAATAAGAAAGGCAAATTCATTGCAGCTAATATTTTCCTCTTTTATGACCTTAGTTTTTGGTTTCCATTAAGTACATATTCCTGATGGTTAAATTACCTATCACATATCACCTTAAATTCTACTCTCCTCCATCCTTAACCCTCATCTGAAGTTTTAATTCTCTGGGCTGTGAGATTAGTTGTGGATAATTGTAACAAGGTCAGCTAAGAGAATGCACCAATTGCTAATGTAACATGATATCAGAAGTGACATTAGGGGAAAAGACTATTATAAAGAAGAAAGAAAACAAGAAATGATTATTGTTTATTAGCCAAAAGCATTTTGAATCATGCTTTAGAATGGACCCTTCTTGATTTCATCATAATCCTTCCGTAATTTCCCGTTTGTTATGTGTTAATCAGTGGAGATTCAATTAAAGCATCAGAGATGTCCATTTCCATATGAATTTAATCATTACCATATGGTAATTATTTTAATTACAGGGAGAACCCGGAATAATAGGATCCCAGGGAATAAAGGTAATCCCCTGGCATTCTTTCATTATGTCTCAGACCTTAATGAGATTGTAGAAATTAAGTAACACTTAACTTTCTTTTCCACCCATGTACTTAGGGTGAACCTGGAGATCCTGGTCCCCCTGGTTTAATAGGAAGCCCAGGACTAAAGGTATATTAAATATATATATATATATATATATATGGAAATAATTTGAGAAGTTTAGTCTTTCTGTGTAAAACAAGGTGCTTTGATGTGCCACTCATTTTCTTCACAGATATCCTTAGCGATGCTGTCCCGTTTCCATAGTGATTCCCCCCCAATTGCTACATGCATTACACACATCTTGCTTCATGGTTCACAGTCGGCTCTTTAAACTCTATTTCAGAGCATATTCACTATAGCATCCCTATGAACTCTTAAGAGTAAACAGTCCGAACTAATCTAAGACCCTGAGCTGTATTCTGAAAAGGAATAAAGTTCAGAATTCAGTTTCTAAACCAGAATTATACAGCCCTGAGATGCTTCAGTCTCTCAAGTGGGATTCCAGAGATGTATCCCAAGAAAGAGCAGCTTTGGGGGAGGGGAGGCGTGCAAGAGAGATTAATATGGTGTGTTCTGTGTCAGTAAGGAAGGCAAGTTACCAAGTCAAGCCTGTTGGTAAAAACAGAACTACTAAATGAAAACATTTAGAAACTATGTTTAAAGCCCAAGGCACATTTTATCATTATGAAATCGTCATTTATCATCCCACCAGAGAAGGTGGGATGATGGGAAGTCTATCTTTTCACATTTAAAAATGACACTGTTTTATGGTACAGTCTCCTTACTTTTTTATTTTTTATTGTTATTTTAATTTATTTTATATATTCAATCACTATACATCACTACAGATTGTAAGGTGAATTTACTCAATATGAATACACTTCACACCAGTTCAGCTGAAGATAATATACATGTTCTCATCAACAGATAATCCATTTCTGTGTCCCATAAATGTCTTGCCTCTCTATTTTTCTCCTTAATTCCTTTTCCTACTTTTTAAATCAAATGTAAAGCACATATCTTCTATTTTAGGGTCAGCAAGGACCTACAGGCCCCATGGGACCCAGAGGACCACCAGGAGACATTGTAAGTGTGGTGTCTGAAAATTTCAAGTAAAATCAAAAGTAACTTATGATCTAAAGAATGTCGACGTATGTTCATGTGACTGAGTTATGCTGTATTTCCCAAACACATGGGTCATCTCCACCAATAAAACTGATCCCACCTAATATCAGGAGCTATTGGGAAGGCCATCATATTCATGTGAGATTCTATTGGGTATAATTCGCCTATAAATTAGCCTTTGCAGCTCAAGTTAATTAAATTATCATTTTGGACATGCTTATCAGTAGTATACCAACAGGAGAGAAAACTGGAAATGTCAAAATGAAATAAGGAAAACCAAGAGAAAAAGCTAACATGTCAAATATGCATGGTTTTTGGTTCAAATCTCCATATAAGGAAGACACTTTGAAAACTTCTGTTTTTTAATGTTACCTTTTAATTTCTCTTTTATATGTGTATATGTATATATATTTATATATATCATTTACATTTAATCACTATACATCTTTACAGTGTACGAAATGGCTTTTCCAAGCACAAATACAGTGCATCTCAATCAAGACAAAGATATTAGCATGTACATTATCTTCAGCAAATCACTTGCCATTTTTGTGTCAATTAAGCATATTGTTTGTTTGTTTCCCTGTTTCCCTGTTTTCCTCCTCCCATTACCCACCCCCTATCCTATCTATCCTCACTATCTCTAGTATCTACAGTTACCCTCCCTGCTATTATACCTTCGAATCATTCCATTTCTGCTATGTAGAGCAGACATTCGGTATATATTGAGTGGCCACATTCAAAATCTGTTTTTCAGAGTCTGGCTGACTTTGCATAGCATTAAGTCTTCTCTATTCATCCACTTTCTATTAAATAATTTTTATGGATGAGTAGTATTCCGTAGAGTACATATGCCATATTTTTTCAATCCACTCATCTATTTTTGAACTCTTAGGTTGATTCCATGTCCCATCAATTGTAAATATTGCTGCTGTAAACATGAATTAAAGCTTCTGTTTTTGATCTCTAACAAGAGTGCTCAATAACAGCAAGTGTTTCGGTGGAAAATATTTCTGTAATGCAGTTGGAGGGAGAGCCTCAGGCTGCATTATAGCCTAGCTTTCATGGACTCACAATTCTCTCTCTCTCTCTCATCCACACATATACATATGTGCACGCATATCTACACCTCACATGCATACATACAAACACACACACTATGCTCTTTAAGAGTAATTTTCTATCACTTCTCCTGGGTCAACTTTCTGTCCCTTGGACAAGTTCCCTAGCCCTCTGACAACTTGGGAGCTGAGAGCTCACCGTCAGTCCACAATTAAGAAAAATGGGAAAAAATCTTTGGTCATACATTTTTGGAGACAGATTACCATCTGACCATGATTAGAGTTCCCTTTAGGCACCGTTTAGAATCTCTTCTTTTTCCATTGCTTTGGGAGTGTCCCCATGATGTCTTATTCTATTCTCCTTGCTCACGGACTGGGCCTCCAGGAGTCTGTTGGTCAGCACACATATTCTGTTTGGTGCTTTGAATATCCAGTTCATAGAGCAAAGCTTCTTATTTTCCCCCCAAGACAGCTAATGGACTGCTCCTGATGTACCTACTGAGAGATCTTACGAAAAGAGAGAAAATGCTGGTGGTACAGGTGGAGCCACAAGAGGCTCAAGAAATGAGATGAAAAGCTAGTGACCTAAGGGCAAGGAGGTGGTGTAGTGGTTAAGTGTTGGACTCCCACATGGTTGACCATGGTTCAAGTCCCACATCTGGCAGCTTGAAAATCATGCCAGCACATGTGCATGTATGCTCAGAATCCCAGGAGGAGAATGGAGAAGGGACTGTGATATGGCCATTCCCCTGGGGGTAATTTCTCACTTTCCCTCTCTCTCCCCATCTCTCTCTCTCTCTCTCTCAGGTGAGCACACACCCCCTATAGCAAAAGCCTTAAGAAGGAAAAAAAAGAGTGACTGTAACTGAAGAAAGAATAAAATCAAAAGGGAAAG